AAATGGTTTCCGCGGTCGTATCGGAGATGGGAATAACTTCTGGCCAACGAGTGAACCGGTTGACACATGTCAACAAGTAACAGTGGCCATTTGATGGTGGTAGAGGACCCACTATGTCTAGATGTACGTGGCTAAAGCGAGCATCAGGTGTGGAGAAGGAACCCACTGGAGTGATGTTGTGTTTGTGGACTTTAGCTCGTTGACACGGCACACAGACACGTGTCCAGATACGCACGTCGCGATTTATACCAGGCCAGACAAATCTAGCTGACACTAGTTTGTCCGTTGCCCGGATACCTGGGTGGGAAAGGTTGTGGAGGCTATCGAATACCATACGGCGCAATGAAGGTGGAACGATGGGTCTCGGGGTACCGGTGGACAGATCGCAGAGGATGGTACCCTCGCTATTAACAAGCGGTATACGCTTGATATGCAAGGAGGTATTTAACGAGAGCCTATCGAGATGTAACTCTGTAAGCTGACGTTGCGCCATTTGTTTCAGGTCAATGGTTGGCGGCGCCGACATGGTACATATCCTAGACAAGGCGTCTGCCACAGCATTGTCAACCCCCGAATATGTCGAATATCCGAAGTGAATTGTGAGATGTAGTCCAAGTGACGCAATTCGCGTGGAGAATATCTATCTGTAGTAGTGTGGAGGGCATACGTCAGGGGCTTGTGATCGGTAAATACTGTGAATTTCCGACCTTCAACAAAGTGGCGAAAATGTTTTTTGGCCGCGTATATGGCGAGGAGTTCTCTACCAAAGGTGCTATACCTCGCTTCAGTGGCGGACAACTTCCGAGAGAAAAAAGCGACTGGTATCCATGAAGTATGTACCAGTTGCTGTAGAACAGCTCCAATGGCTGTGTTAGATGCATCAACTGAGATGCTAAGTGGAAGATGGACGTCTAGGTGGACTAGCATGGTGGCGTCTGCAATTGCCGACTTAATGTTCTGGAAGGCTTCTCGAGCCTCTGGTGTCATGCTGAACGTTTTGCTCTTGCTCTTTAGTAGGTTTGTGAGTGCCAGTAAAATATGTGCACATTGGGGAACAAACCGTCGGTAATAACTCACCATGCCGAGAAATGTGCGCAAAGATTTTATTGACTTAGGTTCCGGGAAGTCGCGTATTGCCTGCACCTTCTCGGGTAGCGGGCGAATTCCCTGTTCATTAATGACATGTCCCAGGAAGGTCAATGAATGGACGCCAATCTGGCATTTAGACATGTTAAGTGTCAAACCATGGGTTGTTAACCGCTCAAATACCATCTGTAAATGCGTACAGTGGGTAGCTTCATCTGGGCTAGCCACAAGAATATCGTCGAGATAAGCATATGCGCAATCCAATCCGCGCAAAACACCGTGAATAAATCGTTGGAATGTTTGTGCGGCGTTGCGGAGACCAAACGGCATTCGAAGAAATTCGAAAAGACCAAAAGGGGTGATCACTGCCGTTTTGGGAATATCGTCTGGGTGAACTGGAATCTGATGATAGGCTCTGCTTAAGTCCAGTTTGCTGAATACCGTGGCACCCTTTAGTGACGACGTAAGGTCATGTATATGTGGTACGGGGTAGCGATCTGGCACGGTCTGTGCGTTAAGCCTGCGGTAGTCACCACAAGGCCTCCAATCTATCCCGTTATTCTTCGGCGCCACATGTAAAGGGGAAGACCACGAGCTGCTGGAAGGACGGATTATCCCCATATCTAACATATGTTCGAATTCAGCCTTCACGGCTTGTAGTTTTTCTGGGGACAATCGCCGTGGCTTTGCAAATACTGGTGGACCAGTGGTCACGATATGATGAGTGACAGTAGAAGTCACACAAAGAAGTTTAGAAACTGGTTTGAACAGGTTGGCAAAGGACTGAAGAACTTCAGCGTAAGGGCCGTTAGAGGCAGGGGTTGAATATACTGGGCTTAATGCAGGTGTGTGCGTCACAACACCGGAGATCGAAAGGTTTGTAGCTGAATCGATCAGTTTGTGTTTGCCAGTATCAACCAGTAGCTGATAGTGTTGCATGAGATCCATGCCAATAATACCAGTAGTTACATCTACCACAAGGAAAACCCAGCGAAATGACCTACGTAGGCCTATGTTAAGATCCAGGGACCTTTTACCATACGTTGTGATTGGCGAACCGTTTGCGGCACGAAGCTGTAAGGAAAATGGCCGCTGGCGCTCTTCAGATGTTGGTGGAGTCACGCTAACTTCCGCCCCAGTGTCAACCAGGAAGCGTGTCCCAGTGTTACGGTCTGTAACATAGAAGGGGTTCGCCAGCGACGTTAGTCGCCAATACGTACTGGCTTACTGGTTTCCCGTTTGCTGGACATCAAAGGTGCACGGACGAGTGCACTTTTGGGCCTTGTCACCATAACGCCGGTGATACCAGCACACTCCAGGATGGGAATTTTGAGGCCTACGACGTCTGCTGCCAGCTCGTGAAGAAGATCTACCACGAGTCGAGCTGGTGCGGCTATTCGAACGACTTCTAGGTCTCTTATCGAGTCTTAACTTACATATCTCTTCGTATAGCTTAGTTACGTGAGCCACCACATCAACGTTTGATGACCCCTCGGCAGAGGAGTTCTTAGTCTGCGTGGGACTAGCGGTAACGGCAGCCGAGATGTTCGTGTTGGATGTAGTAGTCTCTACTACTCTATCGGCTGCTTCAGCTAGTTCAGATAAGGGGGAATGGTTGATTGGAGCTAAAATGGTCTGAATCGTCTGTGGTAATCGTTGTGACCACGGCTGTTTTAAGAAGGCGTCGTCTATTTTGAAGTCAGCCACCAACTGTCTCATTTGACGTAACAGTTGGGTGGGCTTTCTATCAGCTAGCTGAACATCTCTGAATAGTTCCTGCACTTTCTGTTGTTCGGTAAGTGCAACGCGCTTAATAAGCGCCTGCTTGAGACGCTCGTACAAGCCCGGGGATCGGTCCGCGAGGACATCAGATACTTCTTCCATGACGTTCTCAGGAAGACTTACGATAACCAGGTTCACCTTAGTCTCTTGTGAGTGTATATTTCGTAGTGCGAACATAGCTTCGATGTGGTCGAACCATTGAACAGGATGATGAGTCCAGAAGGTGGGGAGTTGCAAGGTAATAGCCATTTCTGAGGCGGAACTGGTGTCAGTCATTTTACACACGGGACGATATATTAATAAAATGATAACAAATATGATAACAAAAAAATACGAGTAAAAACAAGGCAAGTAAAATTTTATAATTCCGTGTGACAAACAAATTGCCAGTATGAAAAAGGACTATTTACACTTTAGGCTACTAAGTAAGCAAACGGTGAAAACTCGGGCTCACCACTTGTAAGAGTTAGACTTAGTATTAACTTCGACCTAAAAGTAACCACTCTTACAAAACTTCTTCACCGCTTAGGGCCTTAATAGTACTCTGCCTAACGTGCAAGTACTAACGAACGGAATCAAGGTTAAAAGACCTGAGATGGCAAGTGTGACTGGAACAGAACTGTATTTACACAAAAGAGATATCGAATTTGATAAGAAATAAAAGGTACACACTTATCTGCAGGTGAGACGGTGGTCAGCTCGGAGAGTGTACTAGGTGAGAGTACAGCGAGAGAGCGAAACCGAAACCGTACAGGAGGTTCAGGAATACAAAGTGGAAGTGGGTTTAAAGGTCAGGCTGAGTTCATTCAAACAAAAGTTCAAAGGTACAATGTACACTACAGTGCCATGACAGGATTGAGGTACAAATTGGAAACTCATGTGCAAAACACCTAGAATCAGTTCAAGCGCCTATTCATTCGAGTAATCCAACTCAAATTCTCACTGTCTATGCCGAAGAATAGAAGAAATGCCTCCCATGGATAAGTAATCAATTCGTGGACTGCTTAGGCATAAACAAATGCGCTGAAACATATTTGTTACTTTCGAATCTTCAGAGGACACAAAACTTTACAGCGTAGCCAAAAATGAGGTTACTGCAAGGACTTGTCAATCACCCTGAAGTTCTGAATTCATTTGGGCGAAAATGCAATTTTACAACCCAAGAAACAGTTTTCATACATGAACCTCAGCGGAGTCAAAAACTTTATTACTGACACGGACACAATGAAAGGTGACTAAGAGGGAGCGTGAGCAGTAGTGGATTACTTCTCCAGAATCTTTAAATATGAGTTATTACCACTAGTAGCACCAGCTCTGGCCGCGCCACAGGAAAACGTGCGCGGATTCTACGGGCATAGAACAAAGCATTGGAATTCACTCACTAAATTAATTAGACAGAGGGGAATCGATGTGACTCCATGGCTACCCAAGGCTTTTCAACCAGCCACCCTAATGTTTGTACTGCGTGTGACTGAGTTGCCTGGATTAAATATATCTTTCATGCATCTCTACACATATGACTTAAAAATTTGGAGGAAGTTTAAAGATGACAGCGAAATTTCTATGTTGCAGGGAGATCTCAACAAACTGTTAAGTTGGTCAGAAGAACAGATTCTCCCAGTCACCTTAGCTAAGTGAGCGTCAGCTCATACTATATAAAGGGAATACGGCTCCCATAGACTCAGACGCTAACAGATCTATGGGTCATAGGAAGATACATTCTTAGCGGATTTGAGAGGAAAGCTGCTCGCGTGGTTTTCGCCACGTCTGACTTATAATACGTGGGACAAGTTAACACATTATGCCTCTCCTACTTATCATACCGTAGGCTCATGCCATCACGATGTTCGAAATAGTAAGAAATAGCTATGAACCTGTTCTATCTTTTCTTTTCCTTTCCACCCAATCGGAACATCTTAGAGGATATAGCGCGGGAGTTCAGAGACCAGATGGGGATTATGTTCCATTTAGGTACTGGTTCTCCCACAGAATAATAAACTCACGCAACCGACTTCCAGGAAAAGTTGTATCAGTGGAATATTTCAAGAAGGGATCAGACAAACGAAGACACTAACTAGTGAAGGATTAATGTAGGCTTGAAGTCTTGTATCCTCAACTAGAAATTTGAATCTGAGTGCACCTTTTTTGACCCGTTTGGGTACAAGAGTCCCAAGGTCGTGTGTTTGTCTTCAAGGCCAGCTTAGTCCAGTACCTGTGGTGGGAAGACTGGCTCACTCAGTTGCAAAGTATGTTTACGTAGCCTAATTGGTATATGTGCTATATAATCTGAGTAATGCTTTGTTTTTCATCTGTATAATAGACATGAATAATGTCTGTATAGAATAAATATGTTTTTCAGCAGGTGATTCACGAACTTGACATCATCAGAAAAGCTAGACACCAGTGTAAATTACACGAGGGACGTCGCCAAAGCTTACGAAACTTTACACTTTATGCATAGGCATCTGGGAGTCCTTCTCCCGAACTATTCTTAACGCTGTATAATATATACGTGAGGCCACTGCTTGAGGTGCATAATATCATTGCTCTTCCGCTACTCAAAAGGGATGCTAACATTCTAGAAAGTGTCCAGAGACGAGCGACAAAATGGGTGATCGGCCTCCGCAACAAATCATATGAGGAAAGACTGAAGAAATTAAGTCTTTTCAACTTAGTTACCGTAGTCACAGGGGAGACCTCATCACCGTCTATAAGATCTTAAATGACCAGGCCCACCCTAATAAGAGCATCCTGCCATTAAGTGATTATAGGCTTCCACGAGGTAACCCGCTAAGGATAGCACACCAGAGACCAAAGACTCGAGTGCGTTCACATTTCTTCTCGCTTCGAGTTTGCCGTCTCTGGAACGCTTTACCGGCGGCCGTAACTACAGCTCCATCTGTGGAGACTTTTAAGCGGAAGCTGGACAATCATGCAGAAATGCATGGTTTATGTCTCAATAGCTTATCCTCTTAAAATTTGAAACCACATTGTCAGTGGATAAGCATACAAGCTGAATCCCCACGACCCGTCCTGTCTTCTCCCATTGTACCGACTACTCTATCTTTTCTTTCTTTCTTTATCATTTCACCTTTATTATTTCACTTATATCAACCTATATTATCTACACTACAACCTATTATTATTATTATTATTATGACTACACCGAATGACCAACGGATGTTAGGTCAAACTCCATTCACGGCAGCAGCTGAGTCCTAACATACTGCACACTACAAACCAAAATCTTGACCAATCCTCGCACCACTCCTCTTGGAGTCTACCAGAGCTAAAGCAGTCGAGTGGCGGGATTTACTACGCATAAGTTCACCAAAGATCTGGAACCTCTACCTTACAATCAAGAAGCGAGCTCAAAGAAATCACTGGTTTATACTAGCTCGTAATCAGGATATTGGATATTGGATAGTACCAAGTGTTATATAATAGTGCTATTTAGTAACTTGAGTTATCATATGGCACTGTTGCACTTCATTTAACGTAATATTAGTTAGTCAACATGAAATTTCAGCTTAAGCTTTGTCCACGTTTTCCCAAAAATGTCCCCTTTTTGTCAACACATTTGTCCGATTGGGAGCTGCCTAAAAGCAAGGTTCAAAATTTTCCATATTATATTCTCCCCTGTAGCTTAATCTTGAGTGGCATACGTTATTTAGTTGAATCTTTGTATGCAGCTCTTATAAGAAATATAAGGAAGGTCGTCTCTAGTGAGTCTCTTAAATGTCACTATTATAATTTGGAGTGGGTTCGCTGACCGGTCCCAAAATATGTATGTGCTTACATTTTATGGCGACTGTAATGAATGATGAACTTATGTTGCCAGTAGGCGCCGTGCTAAAATCATGCTAATCAGTGCTGAAAAACAGCACAGACTGTTGCTTTGTGTGGAATATCAAGTCATTTAGGAATTTTCTCATTATAGAAGAAGTGTTCGTTTAGAATTTGCAGACTTTGCTTCAGCGTTACTGTAAGCCTTAGTATTCTCTGCGTTTATGCGTTTATATTGTGTTGTGAAAATGCAGAAGTGGTGAGACGTTTCATACAGCCAGATATTTTTTTAAAATTTTCCCTAGCTTATTTTAGATTCTCGTATAAGATGCAGTAGTATCGATGGTTGTTGACCAAATATCAGAAATCGATAAAGCACTTGCCAGGGATGAATTGGAAAAGACAACTCAAAAGGTCAGTTCAGTGTTTTGTATGATTTCTTGTTATGCTGTTGTGAACTGTGTGATGTACTTCCAACCTAAATGACTAATATTCAATAAACATGTGGCTATTGGTTTATTTACACTACATTTATCTACTTAATTAATTCTAAGTGGGATAATGGTTATCATATGGCTTGGACATTTCATTTCCAATATGACTTTTAACTATTACGACGTCCAACTTTATATTCCTTCATTTCATGCGTATTACTAGCTGATTAAATCTGGACATCAAATGTTTTTGATGATATAGTAGACTGGAAGTATTGTCTTAATAATGGGACTCCTATTATGTTTCAACGTGGTGGAGTCATCCTCCATTGTTCCCAGTCATTGTTTACTGGTAGTTCGAACCACGTCAAGCTATATAGTTATAATCGAATATAGAAATGCTGCTAGATTTCTAACTCTCCGTACACCAAGGATATATACAAGGGCGCTTAAACAATCCTTGTCTGGTAATATCATGTTTAAGTTGTTCCGAATATTATCTAAAGCCAATATGAACGTCTACTGGTTGTCATTTCTGTATAAACCCATAAAATTCCAGTGCAATATTTCTCGTACTATTGTAAGCTTTCACTAATGATTTTCAGTACTGCGTTGATAATACCATAAATGTATTTTTGCGTAGTCATTTACTTTGTTGTAGTATAGACATTTGATTGTTTTGCTTTGGTTTATACACTCCTAGTAACGCATGCCTTAGTACAAACCTGCTCTGACCAAAGCTGGTGGGGTGGGATAAAAACCTATGATGTTGTATAGCACGCAGCATTGTCGCATGATATTCTAACTTGTCACACCTCATATCTCAAAAGTTATAAAAACGAATGGGAAATAATGTAAGGATTTTAGTGTTACTGAGGATATGTAAGATAAAGCCAATCAAAATAGACTGTTACACCTAAGTTAAAGGTGACTTGCAGATATGTCTGCTCCATTGCAATCGATTAACCACCTTACCTAGAATCTTTATCCATAGGACCTGGTTGTTACTTGAATTCAAGTCAGAAATGTTTATTTTCCTACACGATTTAGAACATTATTCAATGACTTCTTAGATCGGTATCACGTTTTAGCCTAACTTCTCTTCTTCCTTCAGACTAGTCTTACTTCCATATGGCGATCGACAATGGATAGGAATGTGTAACAGTACGTGGAAAAACTAGATATTACCTGTCTATAACCAATTTCCAAGTGATTTCACCAAAGGTCGGCAACATTAGTAAAAGACTGCGTCTTCGCAGGTTTTGAACGTCCGTTGGAATGTGGAAGAACAAAGCATACTTCCAAGTAGAGGACTAAACCCTTGATGTGCAGTTGGATAATGCGACCAAACTATAAGTGGCAAAGTTAGGCGAAGTCCTAGATTTTTGGTGTCTTCACCAAGACTTTATTAGTCAATAGCCCATCAGACCTGGCGTGACTTTTTATGTAAACGAAATGACTGACCCGTCCAACCACTTCACTCACTATGGTTAGACACTGTATTATTACAGACAAGTTGGAAAGTAATAGTTTATAATTCGAAGGTAAAGAGTGCATCAAGACTATTCTCAACTTGCCACTTAAAATGTTTAGCACTTTCAGCATTTTAAAATCTTCATCCATTAGGTCTAATTCACCTGCATGCTGTGAGTTATTTAAGGCGTCTTCATGGAGGATATTCATTTATTTTACTTCAGATGATAATATAGATCTTCATAAACGTATCTGCATATGAAGTTCACTAGAAATGGTGGCATCATAGAACTGCTTGTTAAACCTTTCATCATCTTAAAGAAGGCATTGCTACTAATAAATGCGAGTTGAATAAGAAGAGAGTCTCTTCGCTGAATCTTATTAGTGTTGCGTCATACTCATTTTTGTAGATTTCTGATTTAGTAACCAAATAAAAGCTGGGAATATAAGTAATCTAGAATTGTGTGTAGATTCTCGAAAGCGGGTCGCCGTAATATACTCATTTTTCATATCATGAAATCCTGGGACTGTTAACCATATGTATTGGTATTGTATCCGTTGAGTGGAAATCCCTAGCTTCCTCATTGTTCAGTTGTGTGCACTGGGTGCACTGTATTACTGATAATTGGGATATCTTCATTATTCTAAGCTTATTTAATAACGTATTATGATAATAATGCTAAAGCATATCTCACATTTTTTTTACTTCAGATAATTATTGAGGATATATCACAGGAACCAATCTCTATCACTATCTCAGAGTCTTTCACAGATGCAGCTGAAGCGTAAGTATGATTTTCAGTAACCAGTGGGTTAACATATTTAAACATTGTTTTGTTAAGTCAGAGACGCTCACCGATATCCTCCTCAAGCCGTACAACCGCTCATAAATAGTACATATTCATAGCAAAAGACGGTGTGTTTCCAAGAGTGTGTCACTAAAATTGTAAGTTTTAGGCAACAATTACGTAATATCGCGTAATAGCTAAACTCTCTTCCTTTATATAACCTCATGGGGATGTTTGAACCATTGTTTTGCTTGATGATTCGATCTTTATGAGTCGGTTAGTTCAGTGACAGACGTTTCGATATCAAGTTGGCATACACAATGAATTTGAGTTCCTGAAGATGAGGACTCTACCTTTTTACTGGTATATCCTTTGAATGCACACCAATATCCATTCCCTTTTGCGTGATGTTCATATTGTTTGGTTTGTGACACACTGAAACACTTCACTGTTTTGTGTTTTGCATATTCCCATCAATAATATTTATCACTGCATTTTACTAGGGCTTATTAAGGCATATTATTATTATTTCCCTGGGTTCCAAGAGGAGCACTGGCCTTCAGCAGCACATATATACACTTCACTGTTCTCCGGATTATTTTTTTAGCCGGCGTCATGATTGCCTATAGGTTTTCATTTCCTCATGCAATCTGCTGCATGTCACTCTCGGACGCCGAACTCATTGTTTCCCCTTTAGGATCCATTGTAGGGCTTGATTGGCGTGTGATTTCACTCAATGATCGCCCTAGTTTATGTCCACTTCGTGTCCATTTCTTTGGTTTGTTGTCTACCCGGACTGTGTGTCGCTTATCATTTCTGTCCGGCCATCTGATCTTCGGTATGGAAGTCAGCTAAGGCAGCTGTTGATGAAAGTCTGAAGTAGCCTGTTGGAAGTGCATTTGTGGCGACGCTCGTGTCAAGTCTTTGAACATTACTCGAGCTCTGACTTGACATCAATGTTTCTACAAAAATTTCAAATCACATAAAAAAATATATAGAAAGGAAATCAAAGCACTAAGTGACCATGACAGCTGTATATGCGGAATGAAGCAGTAAAACAAGAATGTTCAATTTCATTGTCATTGTCATAAGCGTTTCTTTATTTTCTCATTATTTTTTTCAGTTCAACTTTAAATTCCCAATCAACCAATGATAATAGACCATCACTCCAACCATTCACAAGATGTAAAAGTCCATCTAATAATAATAATAATAAAAATTCACTGAGTAGTTCATCAAATGCAACGTCTATTGAATATTCACAAACTCCAAGTCCAGGTGATTCTGGTCGTCGACGTTTGGTGCCAGACTTCAATATTGATGATTTACTGTTGATATCAGAATTGGGAAGAGGTAATGGTGGGGTTGTGACAAAACTACAGCATAAATCATCTGGTACATTGTTGATTAGAAAAACATTTGAATTAGACGTTAAGACGACTACAAGAGCACAGATTGTTAGAGATTTACAGGTAATCCATTGTTTGAAAAAAAACAGTATCAGTAATATACTTCGCTTGACCCTGTGTTTAATCACGATTTACTTGTATCTTACGCATGATGTACATAATGTCATTGTTTATAATAGTTGGATGGGATAGCATCTGAGTAGATTCTGATTCAGATTCAGTGATAATACTAGTAGACCTGTATTAATTCTTGGAATATATTGTCTGAGTGGAGCGTTCATAGATGAGGCCAAGTTGCAGTCGTTGGCCACCCCGTGTGAGAATCTGCACTCCACTCGTATTTTCTCTTGCCGCAGAGTGAGCGCCGTGTAATGACTTGAGAAGCGTGAAAAGGTTGAAAAGGTCGGTAACCAAGTCACCTCTCTTCCTTCATTCTGATAATGAGATATAGATTTACCAACCTCTTCTCAATGCGTCGGTGGTATAGCGGTTAGGACGCTCGCCGACCATGCACATGGTCCGGGGTTCGATCCCCGGCCGACGCACTCCTTTACCTCGCTAAGTCAGAGATAATGCTGGTGAAGAGGAAAGGTGGGGCATGGGGCTAGCAACCCCATCCTGTAAAATAAACACTGCTACAGCTCTATGTTCCACTGGGGAACGTGAAGGAAAATAAAACCTCTTCTCATAAAAAAGGTTTGAAATACCACTGACCAACTTACTGCTCAGTCTTTGTACTCTTCTTGAGACTTGTGTTGCCTTCTTGAAGCACGGACTAGTTGCCCGTAATCAGTACTCTAGGAAAGGCCTAATATATGGTGAGTAGATTACCTTAAACATAAACGTATCTCTAAGCGTATTAGCAGGTAATCACATCATCATATCATTCACTGTTACTTTTAATAACATGGAAATAATTTAAGCTTTCTGACTGAACTACATGTGGTGATGACGATCAATTATTGTGGGTGACTTGGAGAAGTCGGCATTATTAATGTTATTAGTTTTACTGTAGAGAGAAAAAACAGAGCTGGATCATATATACTTGCAGAATAGTGGAAAAATGAGATAGTCTAATCGTTTTAGATTACTTTAATAAATGCTTCTATTGAGAACAAGTGATTTTGAAGTAAAACTTATCTTTTCTTTCTAAATTCTTTTATTTGAGAATAATTAGTAAGTGCACTTGTTGTGCGTTTATTTTGATAAGCTTTATTTCATCCTATCCTATTTCATCAGTTCAGTAGCGTAGTTGGCGTGGTGACCTTGTAACTCAGGGCTTATTAGTGTATTTCGTAGTGGTTAACTTTCAATCACCTTATAAAGTTCGGATAATCAGGTGATTAAATCAACTTTCATACGGTGAGTACAACTCACTGCCTAAAACATTAGATTTCACGTGGTTTCTCTGCTGCATGAATATTGTATTCATGTATTAAAGGTTTTTTCAATTCATTGTGGGTCGAGTGGAACATAGCGTTTCAAGCGGTGAAGTTTCAGTAGCAGTGGTTTTGTACTCCACCCTCGCTTTTGTCGGGGTTTAATGCTGGTTAGGTGAATTGTAAGAGTACGTCGGCGAACCCTAGACCTACCACTGAGTCATCGATGCTGTGTAATGGATGCTTGAAGGAAATCAAGAAAAAACGTTGTCCCACCATTTTATATTCTTCGACACTTGTGAATTCAAAAAAAGAATGGATACTGAACAAAGAATACTCTTTTCGATAACTTCATCATCAGTCTCTACAGTTATATATATACATTATAGTGAATGAATTAGTGTTATGAACAACATTAATGTTTAAATAACATCGAATCAATAATAGTATCAATAGATTACAGTTCAATAGCATCAACATAATAATAAACTGAATGTCAGAAAAATTAGGAAAGATAATAATACAAATTCATGAATTTATAGTCTCTACTGAAGGCCAGGGCAGTAGTAGTGGCTGGACTTGCTTCTTTTGCACACAAAGCAGTGGTTGTTCCACGCGAATTGCGGTAGCCTCTGCTGTTTGGAGCATGCGGTACTTTGATGTTTTTGGCAATTTATTTGGCACCCAGTAGATGATAGAGAAGGATTCTTCAATGCTGGCTGCTTTGTGACCGGTTTAACGGGCATTTTTAATCAACTCAAGAAAAATCGCTGACCACTCTGGTAACACTTGCTTTATGATGTTAATAAAAGGCAAATCGAAATCATAGAGGCATGTCTTAATAAGTAGCGTCAATTCAACACAAAGTTCTTCGTCAATCTAACACTTAATACACAGGCAGCCATGTTTTTTTAAAATCTTGTAACCAATATGTGGCAAATTTTGTTTATTCCTCGATTTTCTAGTGTGTGGTATTGATTTACTCCATTCATGTCACAAATAGGTTCTTTGGGAGTGTATATCACCACATATAATCGAATTCCATGGAGCAATACATTCTGATTGCTTAATAAGTATTTACATGGAGTATATGGATGTTGGTGGGATGGATTTACTATTACGAATGGTTGGACGTTTTCCTGAACCAATTATTATTCATATTGCTGATTCAGTTGTTTCTGGTCTGTTATATCTTTGGCAAGAGTTGCATATGTTCCATCGGTGAGTTTTTTTGATTAGTGGTTAGTTGAAGAGTAAAATTTATCATATATTAGTCTTATTTAATAAAACTATATAGTTCTTTCTTTTCTGTTACCTTTATTCTTACATGACTTGCCCCAATTCCGATGAAGCCAATTTTGTTGAGTATCCTGATGATCTAACTGTTTCTATGCCTGTTACTTCCCAATCTGATTGTTTCAAAATGATCAGGTTTTTATCAGAGATTAGTCAGTGGTCCTTGTCAAATGGTCTTAGGGCCAAATCCTTCCAAACGTTAGGTTGTTAATTTCACTTTCAGACGTAGGGGCAACTTACATGAACTGGCTCGTTCGCATGATTCTACTGGCCTAGATGATGGCACTGAAGTTGAAACTAAATCGAATGTTAAATACGTTGGATTGTGGATTTCCTCGGATCTTTCCCGGTCTTCCGACATCATGTTAGTTTCTAGAAAGGTATTCTGTTTAAAGTTATGTGTAAGGAAGTTAAGACAGTCTGTACTTTGTAAGTTCGTTAGTTCTTGTATTCTACCTATTCTTCTTTATTACCCCTACCCCTTAATCTTCCCTGCGCTACCTAAAGAAGACTTTGTTACACTGTGAAGGCGCTAAAAGCTGTCAGTAGGGCGATTGGGTTGTTGTTAAACCAACTCGTTAACAACTGTTGTGAATAGATACTAGAACTGGTGCAAGAAATTGCTTGTCGAACCCTGAGAATCCTCTCTAACAACTCTCTCTTTGCATCTCATCAGGGAGAACTAGAAGCAACTATAGAAGACGTTATACTCGGACGACTCAGTACAAAAACTCCAGAATACCTTATGTAACACATATTTCATGTGATGAGAAGAGTGTAGTGGAAGTGTAAGTGTAAGACATTACTAACTTACTGCGGAATAGTAAGTAAATGGCCTTTTTATTCTTTCTTTGATTGTTATATTGTTGTTAATATTTCCACTTAAATTTAGTATTCATCTTCTTATTTAACAGTATTATCAATGTAAATACCGTTTAATTATAATCCCTGTATATTATGTAATGAGAAAGTTAGACGCAGTATTATATACGGGCTGAAAATTCCACATTTGTATCAAAAGTACTGTTTTCGGTTCAGGCTATTATTGTTATTGTTATTATCGTTATTAGTGATGCAGTATCATTTAATGATGACGTTTCTAGCATGATTTATTGCTCATGATCATATCAAGGCACTCGTATAATCTGTAGATTTTGTTTATATATGATGCCATTATTTCTTATTCTTTGATCATATTGTTAGTAATTTTTCTTTCCATAACTCTGGTATTGGCGTTACGTCATTCCTATTGCACGTGTAATATACACCTAACACGCCATTCATTACCTGAGCTATGCAAAATATTACTGCCAATAAAGTCAAGGGATAAGGAATAATCGGGGTATGTAAAGGTAACATGCAAGTTATGTAAGTGCCTTGATATAATTATGATCAATAAATTGTACCGGAAACGTTATTAGTAACTCATGTATTATTCTATGCTCTTATTAAATGAAATTATACTCTACGACAGTTACCAAATTCTAGTCTTAAGAATAACCTTGCGTAAGGTTTGGTTTCTCTTAATTTATGGAAATTCCTCACACAATAATAATAAAACAACATAGATTGAAAGTAAAAATGTAAGTTGAAAACGGATACAGAACTTCATCAGGAAGGAAAACAGTCATGTTTAACAAGTTCAAACAGTATTCGTTAACTATCATCAGGAAGGGAAGAAAGAAGGAAATTGCAACACGTTCGCCATTGATTACGATTCTTGGCCATATCCGATAACGTTTCGAGCCATCGATTCAAGCTATCTCGCGGACCCCAACCAGGGAGTCGTGACACACCAACCGATGCTAATCTAGCACAAAAATCCTTCATCCCACGACGCCACGTCATGGACTGACCACCCCTCTGCCTTTTCCATCCCGTCCCAGGGCTGGCGAACAGAGACCTGTACGGAAGCCTCTGGGATGACATTCGCAGCACATGTCCAAGCCACCGGAGCTGGTGTTTCCAGATGACGACACTCAATGAATGGTGTTCTCCACTGTGTTCAAACACACGCCGCCGAACCTCGGAATTACTCACGCGATGATGCCATCGAACGCAAGCAATCCTGTGGAGACAGCGATGATCGAACACACAGAGTCGCCTCACATCCTCAGCTCGGAGAGGCCAGGTTTCACAGGCGTAGAGCAGCGCAGCCCGCACCGAAGCATTGTATACCCGACCTTTGACAGCCAGGCTAACGTCGCGACGGCGCCAGAGGTGGCACAAGTTGATGTATGCCACCCTAGCCTTCATTATACGGTTGGAAATCCCATCCGTCACCCCTCCGCCAGCAATCACACAACTACCTAGGTACACAAACTTATCGACAACTTCAAGCGGTTCACCCGCAAGAGTGAGTGCAGGTACAGGCTCCTGCCAATCTTGTAACAGTACTTTGCACTTAGACGGCGCAAAGCACATACCATACTTACAGACACTGATCGCCAACTGATAAAGTGTGATTTGGGCAGCCTGCATGCTATCGCACAGTAAGATGATATCGTCTGCATACTCGAGGTCGAAAAGTCTATCTCCAGGTAGCAGATCTACACCACCTTCACGCACATCCTTCAGAGCTGACTCCAGAATGTCATCGATGGCAAAGTTAAAGAGAAATAGAGAGATTGGGCAACCCTGTCTAACCCCACTGTTGGTTGGGAACAGTGATGATAGTTGGTTGTATGCCCTCACTCTACTTGAGGTGTTTCTGTATAGGGCTTTCAAGATGTTAACAAATTTCTCAGGTACACCTCTCTCTAAAAGACAGTTCCAGAGCACAGTTCTGTCCAACGAATCGAAGGCAGCCTTAATATCAAGAAACACAACGATCGTTGGCCTGCAATACGTGTGGCGGTGTTCCAACAACTGACGAAGGGTGAACACATGATCAATGCATCCACGACCTGAACGAAACCCAGCCTGCTCTTCGCGAATCAATCCTTCACGTATTTTGCACAGTCTGCGAAGCATGACAGCAGCCAATATTTTAGACGCGACTGGTAACAGACTGATACCCCTATGGTTGTCACACGAATTACGTCGACCCTTTTTAAAGATGGGGACGATAATGGCTTCGTTCCACATTGATGGTACGCTCTCTGTCTCCCACACCCTCCTGAACAACCCAGTTAGAGCCATTATGAGAGTCTCACCACCATCTTTAAAAAGAGCCCAGGGTAATTTGTCTGGGCCGGGCGCCTTATGACGTTTCAGAACTTGGAGTTCCTTACGGACCTCCGCTTCGGTGGGTGGGTCGGTATTAACCGACCAAGGAGCACTGGGGCTAATGACAGCAGACATTGAAGCTGGTGGCCAGCTAAACTGTTTCCCGAAATGCTCTGCCCAGCGTTCCAGGCGTCTCTTCAGGCTGGTAATTGGCGTGCAATCTGCCTCACAGACCGTCTCACTGACACCTTGTTTCTTGCAGCCGGTGGCTCGGATGAGTTGGAACAGCTTCCGACTGTTGCCAGATGCAGCAGCTGACTCCATCTCACCCGCACTTTCTGACCACCAGGCTTCGCGGTCCTTACGTAAACACTTTCTTATCTTGCGCGTCACCGCCTTTCGCCTATTGCAGTATTCTCTGCCAGCCGGAATGGATCGACGTTCATCCATGAGTTGCAAGGAACTCGCAGAAACCCAGTGGTTTTTGGCGAAGCATTCTTTCAAGCCGCAAGCGGCTACACTAGCTCTTTGCATGGCACCTTGCAGATGAAGCCAATGTTCATCTATACTACTTGGGGGGTTGCTGGCAAGCATTGATTGTAACTCATTCTGATATTTCAAAGAAGTAGCAGGTGCTACTAGTTTGCTCACATCAACGATTAGACGACGCCTTTTATGAACCCCACCAAATCGCAAGACGAACTTGGCACACACTAACGCATGATCGGAGTCCAGGCATGTGCTCCAGAAGGAGCGACAGTCTTGTATTCATCCTCGCCACCGGAAACTGACAGCAGTGTGATCGATCTGAGTCCAAGCTTGGTTCGCAGAGGGAGGATGCCAGGTAGCGCTACGGCTATGGCTGTGCCGGATGTTGGTGCTGGCCAGAAATAGGTTGTGATCCGTGCAAAGCTGCAGAAGACGGTCCCCATTATCTGACCTGCGACCATGTAGTCCCCATTGACCACCTAGACGATTCTCCTCTGAGCTCAGACGCCCGACCTGTGCATTCAAGTCCCCAGCCAGCACTACGATATCCCTCCGACCCGCCTGTCTCAAGAGATGGCTAATTTGGTAGTAGTACTCATCCTTCATTGCATCCGGGCTGCAATCCGTTGGTGCATAGGCAGAGACAACAAATAGACACCGCCTATCTGGCCTACTACTCCTTACTTTCGTATAACCTTCCAGCCTCACAGCACATAAACGACTGTTAATGGGAATCCAGTCGAGCAGTGCAGCTTCGGCTCTAGCGCTCAGTGCGACGCCGGATGCTGACGCCACAGGATCCCCGGACAAGCGCAGGTGATACATACTACTAGAACTTCCAGATGGAGAGGATAATCGAAGCACTTCACTGGGATCTTAAATGCGAGTCTCCGAAATGCAGTAGACATCGATAGCGAGGCTTTCCAACGTTCTTACCAACCCTGCCTGTTGTCCGATTTGCATCAGCGTCCGAACATTGTAGGTGGCCAGCTTGAACGCGGCACGCGGTTTCAGGATATCTGTGTTAGATGTCACATTGGGGACAACCATTTTGAGGGTTACTCACTAATATCTCGAAACGACACAGATAGGCTAGGATCCAGACAAAGGCGAAAGGCTGTCGAAGGTTAAGAAGTCAAGGTGAGCAAAGGTAAAATACAGGAAACTAAGTATAAAAATAAAAGTAAGGTTGGAATGACATAAGTTGCTTGAGGTATCATTATTTCTTGAAGTCATTTTTGCGAGCGCGCGGTGAGTTTCCATAACAA